ATCATCATTAACAAAAAAGCATAAAAAAAAAATCATGTAAGCGATGATTCTGAAAATCTTTCCCTTGATAACAGAAAAGGATTTGTCTACGAGAGCTATAAAAATATCCTCCTGATTATGGAGAATTCAGAAATACCACCGAGCACTCTAAAATGTCACTTCTTGTAGAAAGAGATCTTAGAATGCGAAAATAAAGCGTCTCAATTCGTCCTAAATGAGGAAATAAAAAAAAAAAAACACCACGATTCAGCCTGAATCTGTAGTTGACAGTCTAAATAATCCCTTCAATGATGAAGTATCGACTTCATATACGGTTAAATGCAATTCAATGGCTGATGATGTTTCTGCGCATTCCTTGTTATATTCCTTGTTATCAACTTCAAAAACACTCATTCTGTGGACCGCACCTCTCATACATCCGTATTTCAGAAGTACTCCATTGACTGATCATTTATATGCATTAACAGATGCATCTCACGCCCGTAACATTTGAAAGAGATTACTAATTGGCATAATAATAATAATGACAAACAACACTTCAGCCCAAGGAACATTCAATAAATGCAAGCATCGAAAGACATTGCAATATACGATCAGATAATGCCATTTTTCATAAAGAGGATATCWTCACCATAAGYGACTCAAGTGAGACCTCTTCATCGARTCTCTTACTCATGAAGAAAGACGATCAGGGTAAAGAATTACTTGCTCAGATTCAATCGCATATAAGAAAAGTGGGACATGTGGAATCAAAAAAATATGGCCCGACGAAGAGGATGAAAACTGGAAAGAATGAGAAGAGCAAGCAATTGGGTTACTATTTCCGAAATCATAAAGAACTTACAATTAAAATACAAAGAATTAATTCTAAAAAAAAGAATTATTATTCCCCAATGGTAACAGGTGTATATAACCATTGAGAATAAAACTTAATGATAAACCCTGTTTGGAAGTTTGAATCGAAGGTGAATAGAAAGCTATTGCCTAAAGAAGTGAAAGTCCGTCCGCTCAATACCTGCGGTTTAGATTCAATTCTCCATATTTTAGAATTTTGTGTGATCGATCACCCCTTATATGAGTCATTTGCAAAATACTCTGATAGTAAAGCCATTAAACTCCTCCTTTCTTTCATAAAAAAGGGGCTACTGCGGAAGTACAGCAGGAACGGTTGAGACTCCTGAATACAGTATACGACACTGAGGAGCCGCAGGTGTGTCTACTTCCATACCAGCTCAATGCTGTCGATTCACTTGATATCATTTGGGAACGATTCTTGAAGGCCGAACCAAGTGGTTTCAGAAGTTTCACATGTAAAAATCCACATTGCAACGTTGAACCCACACCAATGTAGCTGATTCATGTGAACGAGAGAATTCTGCTCGAAGGTGGTTATAAAGACTTGGAAAAAGCTCTTCAATATCGTCTAGTTGATTATAACAAGAAATGTCGATCGAAATGTGGCTATRAAGGTGAGGAGTATACCACATTAAATCTYCATATTTGCATAAGTTKAGATGTGCGTGAGCYTACGAACAAATTAAGAACCATGGAAGGTCATTTAAATGATTTTCCTCCTTACCCTTATCTAGAGAGACCTTAGAGGTATGATTTTTTACATTMTGGAATTTRATTAATGCTTATAGGCAAGTTAYTGTTAAAGCGATTTTTCAATGTAAATTTTTTATTTTCAGACTGATTCCCAATAGTCCCATCCATCATGAGGAAAGACTATCGCTTCCAAACGTTGAAGAAAAACATATACAAACTTCATAGCCGGGTACTTCTCAGCATATATTCTTCGTACTACAGGATCGTGGATCCATTGCGATGATTTAGAGGAAAACATCAACTATACGTGCAAACTAAGTCAAACTGTGAAACCTCATGCTGCAATTTACGTGATCTGTGAGACCGAATGCGACATTTCAAAACAATTCTTCGATAAAATTTAAACTTACTACAATCATGTTTTTAATTAATGTTTAAAGCTGTAARTAAGAAATTACTAATAAAAATCAATGCAAGATGATGTTTAACATTTCTACTTCAGGAAGAGAGGCTCAATCAAAATAGTTCTATATTATTTTAAGTGCAAAAGAACAGCTGGTACGACGAGGAGTGCCGTGTCGCAGCGGAGAGAAAACAGGCTGTTTACCTCGCAACGTTACGATCGGACACAACACGTGCGGGATGGGATAGATACCGAGTTGAAGAGGGAAGCGAGCCGCATTTACAACAGACAGAAAAAGAAAGAGGGCGAAATGCATGAGTACGAAGAGCTTGATAAGCTGGCCAACAGGGGTAATGCTCGAAGATTCTACGAAAAAATGCGGCGGCTTACAGAAGGTTTCCAGACCGGAGCATGTTCTTGTAGAACCCTCAAAGGTGATCTAGTCACCGATGCCCAGAGCACACTTAAATTGTGAAGAGAACACTTCTCCAGCCTGCTGAATGGCAGCGAACGCAAAACGCCAGGAGAAGGCGAACCCGATTCTCCAATCGAGGACGATGAAGCAGACGTTCCATTGCCCGACCAGGAAGAAGTTCGAATAGCAATTACCCGCCTGCCGAAGAACCAAGCGGCGGGGGCCGATGGATTGAAGGCCGAGCTATTCAAACACGGCGGCGAAGAGCTGATAAGGAGCATGCATCAGCTTCTTTGTTAAATATGGTCGGACGAAAGCATGACCAACGATTAAGTGCGCTATGCCCAATCCTCAAAAAAGGAGACCTCTAATCTGCGCCAACTACCGTGGGATAAGCCTCCTCAACATTGCATATAAGGTTATATCGAGCGTATTGTGTGAAAGATTAAAACCCACCGTCAACAAACTGATTGGACCTTATAAGTGTGGCTTCAGACCTGGAAAAACAACAACCTCCCGATATTCACCATGCACCAAGTCTTGAAAAAGAATCGACGCTCACCACCTCTTCGTCGATTTCAAAGCTGCTGATGATGTCTGAATTTGGTATCCCTGCAAAACTTATACGACTGTGTAAGCTGACATTAACAAGCACCAAAAGCTCCGTCAGAATCCGGAAGGACCTCTTAGAGCCGTTCAATACCAAGCGAGGTTTCAGACAAGGCGACTCCCTATCGTGCGACTTCTTAGACCTGCTTCTGGAGAAAATAATTCCAGCTGCAGAACTAAATAGAGAAGGTACCATCTTCTATAAGAGTGTACAGCTGCTGGCGTATGCCGATGATATTGATATCATCGACCTCAACACCCCCGCCGTTAGTTCTGCTTTTTCCAGACTGGAAAAGGAAGCAAAGCAGATGAGTCTGGCAGTGAACGAGGGCAAGACGAAATATCTCTTGTCATCAAACAAACAGTCGTCGCACTCGCGGCTAGGCTTTCACTTCACTGTTGACAGTCATAACTTTGAAGTCGTAGATAATTTCGTTTATCTTGGAAGCAGCGTAAACACCACCAATGTCAGCTTGGAAATCCAAAGCAGGATAACTCTTGCCAACAGGTGCTACTTCGGACTGAGTAGGCAATTGAAAAGCAAAGTCCTCTCTCGGGAAACAAAAATCAAACTGTATAAGTCACTTATAATTCCCGTCCTGCTATATGGTGCAGAGGCTTGGACGATGACAACAACTGATGAGTCGATATTGCGAATTTTCGAGAGAAAAGTTCTGCGAAAGATTTATGGTCCTTTGCGTGTTGGCCATGGCGAATATCGGTGTAACGATGAGCTGTACGAGATATATGACGACATTGACATAGTTCAGCGAATTAGAAAATAGCGGCTACGCTGGCTAGGTCATGGTGTCCGATTGGAAGAAAACACTCCAACTCTGAAAGTATTCGACGCTGTATCCGCCGGGGGAAGCAGAGGAAGAGGAAGATCTCCACTCCGTTGGAAGGACCAGGTACAGAAGGACCTGGCTACGTTTGGAATATCCAATTGGCGCCACGTAGCGAAAAGAAGAAACGACTGGTGAGCTGTTGTTAACTCGGCTATAATCGCGTAAGCGGTGTCTACGCCAATTAAGAAGAAGAAGAAAGTTTTTGCAACTTTATTTCATGGGCGATGAGGAAAATGAAGCTGATCGCATGTGTCAAAATATACAAGGAACCGAAAGGGATACTGTTTTAAAAATCCAGATTATGTTGCATGAACATGATCGCCTTATCAATACTTTCAAAACAGCACTAGAAAGAATGCCGGGAGATGATTATAGGTTGGTGATGCACCCCGATCGCACACCAAGTGAGGAACATGAAAGGCGGTATAATGCACCGTTAATAAATGAAGTCGCAGCCTTGGTTACAGGCGAACAGTTTGCTTCCCTTGATGTAGTTTTATAGGCCCGAGATGACACATTTACCATGTTGCCTGATACTCATAAATTTCATGATGCGTTGCAATATCCGATCATATTTAGTAAGGGACAAGAGGGGTACCACTTTCAAGTTCCTCACATTAATCCTGGAAGAGGTCTTCCCTTGCATAACAAAATGGTTTCATGCATGGACGCCTACAACATGATGATACGAGAAAAAAACTTTAACATTTTACAAAGATGCAAGCAACTGGCCAATCAGTTTTACGTTGACATTAACGTTAAAGTTGAAAGCGAGGAGTTACGGTACATGTCATTAAATCAAACTAAACTAAGAGTAAAGAATTACATCCATCTTCAAGACGCTTTGGCAAAAGACGCTAATTTAAATCCAAATAACTTAGGTCGCATGGTCATTTTACCGTCTTCATTTGTAAATAGCCCGCGGTACTTACACGAGTTTATACAGTTCATGTTAGTAACATAGAATGTTTTTGTCTATGCATGCTTTTACACCATGTTCGCGGACCTACCTCTTTCAATGATCTAAAAAATACAACACATAAAATTATTCAACATTTCGAGGGGCATGTGAGGCAAGAGGATTACTGGAAATGATAACCTTTGGGATGTGACACAGGAAGAAGCTGCTCAATGTAGATCAGCAGGCAAGATGAGAGAGCTGTTTGCTGTATTAGTAATGACATGTGGTCTTTCAAATCCTCAACAATTTTGGGATAAATACAAAAATGATATAGCGGACGATATATTGCACAGATTACAACAGCAAAATCCCAATGTCACGTACAATGATTTAATTTACAATGAAGTTTTGACAAAAATTGAAGACCAGGTTAAAACAATTTCTGGAAAGGATTTATCAGAWTATGGAATGAACAGACCACAGAGAATTGAGGAAATCAGTAGCGATTTAATACGGGAGCTAGATTACGATACTGCTTCCCTACAACAACAATTAACAGAGTCTGTTCCACGTTTGAACCCAGAAAAAAGGTTAGTATTTGACAATGTTGTTAAAAAAATCAAAGATGGCGAAGGTGGTTTGTTATATTTGGATGAACCTGAAGGCAAGGGAAAAACCTTTCTTTTAAACTTGCTTTTAGCCCATAGCCTAAAAGATAAAGGAATCGCAGTAGCAGTTGAATCTTCCGGAATAGCCGCACCTCTGTTCAATGGTGGTTGAACGGCACATTCGGTGCTTAAACTGYCATTAAACTTAGCCCATGAAGAAATGCCAGTCTGTAATATAAGTAAAAACAGCGAGCGTTTGCGTATGTTGCAGCAATGTAAATCATTAGTTTGGGATGAGTGTACCATGTYCCATAAAAGAGCAATTGAAGCTCTAGATCGGAGTTTGAAATATATTAATAGTAATCTTGGTACTTTTAGCGGGCGATTTTAGACAGACTTTGCTGGTTATCAGATTATGGAGAAGATCGTATGACAAAGGATGATAATGGCATGATTACATTGGATCGGTAATTCTGCAATGTTGTGCATAATCCAGATGATCTAAATAACTTCGTCTATAGCGAACTGCTAACTAATAAGAGGAATAGAGAATGGTTATGTGAGAGAGCAATTTTAGCGCCGACGAATGAAATGGTGGGACAGTTTCCGTTAAAAATCACATTCGCTATGATGATAAATAAAGCTCAGGGGCAACATTAAAAGTAGCCGTCATTAATTCAGAAAAAAATAGTTTTTGTGAAGTTGAGGACCGGAACACGATAGTGGGCCAGTATAAAATATATGTGAACGGAGCGATTTGTTGTCGCCGTTCAAGATCGCTAATAAAAAATGTAAAACAATGAAAATCAAAGAAAATGTGAAATTTAAATATATTTCATGAAACGTTTTGTAATTTGATGCATAATAGAATTAATTTTCAATTAAAAATCATTAAAAGCATTTATTACTTGAGAACTAACAGGCCTAATTCACCTTATTAAGTATTGAAAGATAGAAAGTCAGTTGGGTTAATGTACCATAAAATTATTATATAAAAAAGGATTTAAGAAGTTTCGCCATATATTAAAAGTGCAATATATTTGTATAAAAATTTGCAATCGAAATAAATGTTGGGTGTTTTAATTTAAATGCCTAAAAATTTGTTCGATTTGGTCACAATGGAAAGTGTTATAAAAAATGCTTTTTTTGAGTCGCTGTGGATAAGTTGGGCATCACATTATCCCTAATTTCTACATTATCGCTAATACCATGTTTAGGCAATGGTTTTTTTGTTTTTTTTTTACTTCAGCAGCATCACTTGAAAATGTTAGGAAAGCACTGTTAACTCTTAGTGCCGACAGTCTGTGCACTGTGTTTATTTGTCTGGCATATGCCTGGATCCGTATTGGAGCCGCACATAACATAACCGACCTCATTACCTTTGCTAGTAAGCCCGGCCGATTGGAACGCACACAGCCTTTATTTGCCATCATTCTTGATAAGGCATTCCGGATTTTATTCGCTTTAGCTGCAGTGTACTCTAGGTGATCCTTAAATTTGAGCCTTGAATCTACTATTACTCCCAGATATTTTAGGTGTGGCTGTGAATGAATCTCGCACTCCCCTATGGTGAGAGATATATTGTCCTCTACTTTTCTTGTACTTATGAGCTAGACTTCTGTCTTTTGCTCAGCCAGTTCTAAGCTCATTGAGGAAAACCATTGGCGTAGACCGTTTATGCACTCATTACATTTGCTCGGAGGTCGTCGAGGTGTTTAGCCACTGCTACCACAATAAGGTCGTCTGCGTATGCAACTAATTTAATAGCTTTCGGTTGGTGTCTCCTTAGTACCCCATCATACATTTTGTTGCATAGAAGGGGGCCTAGTACCGAGCCTTGCGGTACTCCACTTGAAATCGAGTAGCTCTTTGTGCCTTCGTCTGTATCGTATAATAGTCGCTTGTTTTCAAAATAACTATTTTTCATTTCATATAGAGCTTTGATTATGTTTGCCCACTTTGCTGAGTTAAAGGCATTCTTCACATCCAGAGGGATCAGCTCGCAAAATTTTTTTGTCCCGCCTTTCCATCGCTTGCCACTTACTGTGTATTTCGCAGTGTCAATGACATCGTATAGTGCGTCAATGGTGGACCTCTTTTTCATAAAGCCGTACTATCCTTCTGATAGTCCGTCGGATTTATGGATTGCTAAAACGGTCCAAACGGTTTCTAACTATGCTTTCATATATTTTGCCAATAGTGTTAAGCATGCGCAGAGGTCGATATGAAAATGGTTCCTGCGGAGGATTTTTTAGCTTAGGAAGTAGAACCAATCGCTGGACTTTCCATGGTTCGGGAAATATTCCTTATTTTAAGCACGCATTGTACATTTTCAGGAATAATTCAGGTTTCAGAGTCATGGCTTCTTTTAGGGCTCTGTTTGGAATCCCATCTAATCCAGGCGCTTTGCTGCTTTTAACTTTTCCGGCTATGGCCAATATTTCTTCTTTACTAACTAGCAGTGGTGACTCTTCGACTTCGGTTAGAGGCTTAGCATAAGAAATACTGGTGTGTTTTTCATAAAGGATGCGCTTTTGGGTTGATTTGCCTTATTTCTGAGTTTTGACATACAGATTTTGTATGCTGTTCCCCAGGGGTCTTCGTTTGCTTCCTCACAGAGTTTTTCAAAACACTTCTTTTTACTGCAACCATTGGCTGACTTCAGAATATTATTTTGACTTTTAAATATATTCCTAAGGCTGCTTTCATTTTCTTCACTCTGATTCCGTTTTAGGCGCCGTCTAGCTGAGTTGCTGAGTTTTCTGAGCCAGCTATTTCTTCATTCCACCAATACACTGGTATTCGGTTATTGTGGTGTGCTGCCCTACGCATGGTTGCGTCGCAAGATGTGGACAATTTTTTTCGCACTGCAGATACCAAGTGTATGGCATCTTCGCCTTGTGTATTTTCTGAACTCCAGACCATCTCAAAAAGTTCGGCATCAAAGTTTTTTTGTTTCCAAATTCGTTTTTGGCATGTGCTCCTGCTCCGGCGTTCCGTCCCTCCGGCATATGGGACTTCGGCAATAATAGCCATGTGGTCACTGTTTGTAAATATGTGCGACACCGCCCACTTAATGTGCATACTAAGGGCGTCGTTATCGAACATGAGATCGATTATGGAGCCTTTGTTTCCTTTTTGAAACGTATTTTGCGTTCCGCTATTCAGGATCGTAAGATTCGTTTGGCCGAGGAATTCAAGTAGTAGACGCCCACAGTGGTTTGTGCACCTACTACCCCAAGCGGTCGACCACGCATTGAAGTCGCCTGCGATTATAATTGGGGATTTTCCTCTGGTTTCTAGAGCAAGTTCCAGGAGGAAGTCTTCAAAATTCTTAATTGAGGCACTGGGAGGAGCATAGCAGCTAACAAAGTATAAGCCTCGTATATTCGCCCATGTGAAAAAATTATGGCATTCGGAACGAGACATATATGGTTGTCTTTCACATGGCAATATTGCAACCTTTCCAGATATGTGTGTAGTCCATGTCCTTTCCGAACGCTGGGAGTATTGCTCGCTTAGTAAGGCGACATCAATGTTTTTTTCAAATACTGTCTTTTAGTAGCTCTTGTGCTGCTGCGCAATGGTTCAAATTTAATTGTATTATCCTCATTTCCCTAACGATTTCGCCATCTCTAGATATTAAGGGCACGTAGTACTCAAGGCTGAGTGTGTTCCTTTGCAAAGCATGCAGCTTGGATCCTTAGTACATGACTTCGTTACTGTCCACCGGCTCCGGCTTACGTGTACATAGAGACGACCTGTCCACAGGCTTGCAACATTTGTGCGCCATGTGCCTTAGGTGGAAGCATTCGAGTATAATGCATTTCTATTATTATTTCTACAGGAATCATTCAACTAACTCCATTTGATCATGTATTAATACTAAACACTCTGCCTTTGCCACTACCTGTGCCAATGTCTAACGTGTCACCGGAACATTTTCCTTACTTTTTCGTTAGAGATGCTTCATTCCCATTACGAAGTAATTTAATACGCCCGTTTCCTGGAGCAAATCTAGCACACACGAAACGTATTTTCAATTATCTACTGTCACGCGCTCGTAGAGTCATAGAAAATTCCTTTGTATATTGACTGCTCGGTGGACAATTTTGAGAACAACGATTGAATGTAATCCAGAAAATTGTGTTCGCTTGCATAATTTGTGTGGAAGGAGATATCATAACATCCTCCAAAAGCGTTTAACTTACGTGAAAGACTTGCCAACTATTTTATCAATAAAGTATCCTTACCATTCCAGAACAACTTAGACCTCATCCTCCTGTGACCATATGTTTAACTTTATTAGAAATAATTACTAATTGTTTTAAATTCATAAATATAATTTTTTCAAAATTCAAAACAAATACATACAAATAAAACTAAATTAATAATTTAAAAATAACAAATTCATAACTGTATTAAATTCAATTTTATATTTACTTATAAACTACTGCAGATCCTGTTGCACTTCAAATGCAGTTTGCATAATTTTTTGAATTACACTGGTTTACTTCTCTTCACTAATTTTATTTAACATAGAAACCTTCTAATTGCTGAAGGCCTGTATAGCCGGGTTGTGGTTGGTTGTTGTTGGGATTCGTGGATGGATGACCATCTATTTTTAAACATCTCAATTGCTTCCATCATGTTTTGGACAACCTCACTAGTGGATGACCCTCGTTTTCTACCCTTTTGGGTGGACACTCGCGTAGAGCAGGACGGTGAAGGCAGCGAATTTGTCGTGTAAGGAGTTGATGACGGATTTTCGAGGCGATGGTGGAGACAACGATACCGAGATAGGGCTTAATGGTGACAAGAACCATAATAGTGATGGCACTTGCACCCCGTGCCCATGACCTTGAATTCAATTGCGTCAGCTGGTGATTGCGATTGCAATTCGGCCTGAATAGCGATAGCAGGTAGTACTGGAGTGTCACGGTTTCACAAATATTTTGCGAACATCTATCCCTGTAAATTTTTTATTACAAATTCTACTAAATATTACATATATATTCACATAATATATAGTAGGTACTTAAATTTGCGGTCATGGTACAATGTGTGACTTCAAAAACTTCATCGAATAGAACAAATGCAACTGCTTAAAAAATTCTAATCCACGGCCTGAGGGGTCGTTAGCCTTTCGCACTTCCCTCTCGTATCGATCCC